AGCTCACACATTCATTTAAATCAGGCAGTAGAAAAGTGTTTTTAAAACCTCCCTTCAGCTGATTAATGAACATGTAGAATAGTTTAATGGGCAGCTCAGTACACACGTGTGCTCGAGGCGCATCATGTTGCAGCATTGTAAAAATGGGTCATTCCTGTTTAGAAACCACCTCCAATCATATCTTTAGGAGCACGCTGCAACCACTCCTATAGCACTTATGACACATTTAAGAAGTGTTGCTAAAGCATTTTCTAGGCACTGGAGGTTCTGAAATCCCAGAAAGCCCTGTGAAATTATAAAGTGAGAGGACAGAACCGCTCCAGCTGCCACTTCCTGCCAGCTTTGTCAGCCAGAGAGTGCCATACTTTCCCTTTACGAACCAAAACCAACACTTACAGGGCATTGGGCAAGCTTTTTTTGCTCCTCCAACATATCTTACATGCATGCTAAACACAGAATAACACTATAGGCACGTTAATCAGCGATTTTCCTTTCTGGTAATCTCAATGCACATGTGAAGCAGCTCTAAAGCAGGGGTGGGCAAACCCTGGCCCTCCAGCTGTGGTGAAACTACTATATCCAAAACATAAAAAGAAACACTTGCCTTTAAATCCACTTTAAATTATTATTTAACTCTCAAAATGTTTTCAATAATGAATCCAGATCAAACATTATATACATTATTCAGAAATGTATTTGCCCAAGCACTTATAGTCATCAGGTTTCTGAACAGTTGGCTCCAACTTTCTCAGCTTGGCTTCCCTGAACTTTCTGTCCAGTACAAGATAACAAGGGAGAGCACAGTTTTCAGCTGCCATTCATCCACTAGCTTGGAGGAAGAATGAGGAGAGAGGAGCAGGGTGGAGGGTAGTAGGCCCTGTTGTACCTGTGTGTTTGTGGAGACCCTCACAGCTTACTAGAACAAACAAGGGTGACTCCATAGGACCCAGCAAGGGAAAGGAGCCCCCTAAAACAGGATAGCAGGACCAGTGCGCAGGGGAGCAGCTGATAGTGCAGGAAGCTGAAACTTTTAAACATCAAGGAGCTGCATCCATTGTAAGTGATTTCATCAGAATTTTAAATAATGATTTAACTTTAATATCACTTTAAGCACATCTTGGTTTAAAAAGTCTGCAGCAATGTGGTTCTTGTTATATTCAGGTCGGAAGCGCATTATCCTGGAGAAAGCCCGGATTGTAACCTTTATTAAAAGCCCGGCCTTGCCAGATCAGATGAAAATATGTCAGTGAAAAGTGGAGAAATGTCTGGAAGCAGTGGGGAAGAGAAGGATCAGACGTTTTTGTGTCTGCCTTTTGTCTGGCAGCAGGAAATTTTGCTACTACAGCGCTGGATGTGCGCCACTGCGAGCATCTGGATTATGTTGAAGCATACAGAAAAATTCCAGGATTAATTGTCAGAAAATCCAAAGAATGTTCAATTAAAAATTGGTGGGAGGGGTGATGAATCTCCAAATTAACATTCCACAATATGTGTGCCAGCAAAACACATTCTAATACGTCCAAGCAAATCATCTGGCACATACGCAGCTTTGTGTCAATTAGCTGGGTACCATTCCTGCTGCAACAGTAAGCTGCATCTGGCTACACAAATCTTCCTGAAATCATTTCCCTGCTAAAGGACTGTTTAGAACACAAACTACAATATACAAAAAAATCACAAACACAATGTAAACAAGAGTTTTGTATTGTTTTACAGGCATGTCATTTGGTAGCAGAAAGCAGATTCTTTCTGCAACATCAAGCTAAAAGAGGCTCCTGCAGAGATGTTCAGAGGTGGTACTAAAGGGAAGTAAAATAGTTTCCTATCTTTTACTACATGTGCTCCAAGATGGAGACTCTCATAGATTAGAGTTAGGACCCCACTTCACAGACGCCTGAAATATTTTTAAGGCATGTCTGTGAAGGTTCTCATTCATCCAGGTCATGGTATATCTGAAGAGTTGCCTTTTGCCTGGTGTGTACCAGATTACCCCTGATCCAGCACAATCAGGTCCAGCCAAATGGAACACTGTTGTGTTTGTTTTTCCAGACCTGGCCAGAGCCAGGGGCAACCAGGGGCACTTGTCTGTTTCGATCCGGCTGCCCATAGACTTACAATGTGCATCCAATCAGGTCCGCCTGAAAAACTGACAGTAGACTTAATCGGACCACCCGTCTGAAAGGGGCCTTAGGGCTGATTCACATCAGATGCATTGGGGCTCCTCAGACACAAGGTAAGTTGCCTTGTTTCAAATGGGCTCAGTTCAAATCACTGCATTGCTGTGGTGTGCACTAAAAAAACAATACTGCATGCAGTACTTTTTTCAGCACAGTGGCTGCAACATGGTAAACCTCATCACACCACGCTATGCCCATAGAACCTAAAGAAGAACTCCAGGATTTTTAAAATGTAACCCTTGCAGTGGGGTTACCCACTTAATGCAAGGGTTCACTGCTCGTGTTGGTTTAGGGGCAAAAATAAAAAAGATTCACTCACCTGAGCCTTGGTCCCATCTGCTGCTAGACCAGTCCCTGTAGCCTCTTCTTCCCCCGGGCTATGGTGGTCTAAGGACTGCTAACATCATCACATCTATTGCAGGTCCAATAGATGTTCACCCTAGACCAAAACGAGCGCTTAACTCTTGCAGTGCAGGGTTAGTCCCAATGCAAGGGCTTATTTTTAAAAATGTTGCAGTTCATTTTTTTTTTTTTTAAGCATATAAATCTTTATTAAGTTTTCCATAACCAATAATGGTGCATGCAGTTCTTTTTTAAAGAAGTTTCGATTAAAGTTCTGACAAAAAAAAAAGCTGCACGTTGTGAGTATAATGAATTGCACTGCGCTACAAAAGCAGGACATTAAATAATGAGTAAATAATATATATACAATTTCTAAATATTTTAAATATACTGTTAATTCATTATTTGGTGTAGCAATATGGTCCTCCTTTTGTAGCGCAGTGCATCTCGTTACAGTTCTAGTTATTTTATTTGGGGGTTCCAGCACTTTCTTTTCTACTACTTGCAAAGTTTCTGCAGTGTTAAATGATGCTTAAAGGGTAGTGTATGTCCTATTATTAATACTAATGGATACAATATCCTGGTGTAATCTATAATATGCTTTTGAAACCCTTTTGAAAAAGTCGACTACGACGAAACTTGTCAAGGACAAAGGATAGGATTGGCCTTGTTTCTCACACATCATTGTGTCCGTCCATACGGCAGAGAGTTCTACCATTGAAAACGTTTTTACCCTTTGAATCTTGTAAGTGCAGTATTTACTTTGTTTATAATAAATGTTTTAATTGCTGCACTTAGTAGTTTTCCCTTCCTTTCTCCGTTGAATAACTTTCCCCCGGTCATCTGGACAAACCCCGGTGGTCGGATATCACATCTACCCGATACTTGAGGGGTTAACCGGAGGTGAAGGAAGAATCACAGCTTCACCTGACCTTTCGGATCCAGAGTAAAGAAAAGAACGAGAGAAAATAACCAGAAGGAATCGGAGAAGAAACCTTCCCAAAAGTCACTTCCTCAGTGGATCCCAGGATATAAGCAGGACAGATAAGTACCACTATCCCTCACAAACTATTGCTTGCTAGTCGGGGCGACATAGACGATTGGTCAATTGACTCATTCCGACATTAAGACTGACCTATGTGAGGATTTCCTGATGGTGTCAGGACACATTAATGATTTGCTGTTGTCTTTTTTTCCCACTGATTGGAGTTAAGTTGGGGGGTATAAGAGAAAAGCCCCCTCTTATTTGGTGTTGTCATATTTGATTGTTTTCTAATGTTTGTTCCATTGTTTATATGATTGTCTCATATTATTACATTCTCAAGCTTACAAGCCATATAGAAGACAAGTTTATACTAGAATTGTCCCAAACTGCTATTTTTTCACCTCCAGAAGATTAGGGGGAACAGCACTTAGTCACACTTGTTGCTAACAGTTATATATATATTTTTTTTCTGAGCAGCTGCTGTATGTGAACTGGTTCTCTATCAGTGTTTCCTTCTGGCTTTTATAATGGGAAGGTTTACTGATGTGGTGTATGGATGCAGTTGATTTCAAGTATTGTGAGTATATGGAGTAGATTGGTCTGTGTAGGAGGTTCCATACTCCTTGTGGAGGGCTGCCATCCCTGGTGAAGTGGTTGGTGATAATACCATGGGTCAAGTGGTTTCTCTGGTTGCTATTAGCTCTAAAGATCTTACGTGATTATTTACAGGTGTTCACTGAAATATTTCCAAAGCAGCAATGGAATTTTCCTTCCTTTGTGACCCAATTCATACGGGAGGAGAGCGCTGTGAGCGGCCGGTGTCTCCTCCCACACCGTTCAGCCTCCTATCACGGCGGTGTGTGGGCGGAGACATGCCGCGCTGTCACAGGAGGCTGAGCTCTCCTCCCTACACCGCTAGATCAGCCTACTGTGACAGCGTGTCAGAGAGGAGAGCAAGGTACCAACACTCAGCGATCAGTGATCGCTGAGTGTTTGTAGATAATTGAGGACATGGTATGTGTACTATATCCTCAATTATGAATGAATGGGAGTGATCTACATCACCTCCTGTTCATTCATAGTTGTAGTTATAGTAAACATACCATGTCCTCAAGTTATGGATGAACAGGAACACTCATAGAGCATTCCTGTTCATTGATAACAGGGGATACAGAAAAGAGGGGATACAGAAAAAGAGATTGAGGACTCTGTGTTCTCATTGAAATACCTTGTCCTTAAATAACAAAGATTTCATGCCTCTAAATTCCTGAAATAGTATGGTATGTTCTAAGGGGCTTGCATACACATGTTCCCTCTACTCTGCACTACCAAAGCCCAGTTGAGTTAAATTAGCTTTATATGAAGTTGAGGACACAGACAGCCAAAGCAGAATATTTCAATAAATATATATTTGGTTTAAGCAGTATGCATGCTGACATACACATTGAAATGTTCATATAAAAATAAATTATTCTGAGATATGCATTAAAAAAAATAAAGTATCTTTCCTGTAGGAATGCAAGCTATGCCATGGTAGAGGAAGCTTTTACTTTCGGCGATAACGCCTGTTTGAATCGTCTCTTTAAATCCTGCATATTGGGTGACTTTGGTCGTGGGATTATGGAGCCCCTCCTCTTCTCCACAGTGCTGGTGGTTTGGTGTTTGCTGATCTCCTTACAAAGGTGTTGGAACACATCACAAACGTCCTGACAGTTTTCACTAGTAGAGATCTCCACAAAGGAGCAGCCCAGTTCATTGGCCAGTTGGATTCCCAATTCTGAGGGCACCTGTCTGACGTGAAGGAGGTCACCTTTATTGGCCACTATAATGATGGGGATTTTAGAGTCTGAGTGCACCTTCCGGATGTGCTGGTGAAGGTGACGGATGTACTCGTAGCTCCTCAAGTCTGTGATTGAGTACACTAGCAGGAAACCTTCCGATGACTGAACAAATCGCAGCATGTCTGCAACTTGAGATACGTCATCTTCAACCTGTGCAAAAATAAAAAATAAACGCTTTTTAGAACTTTATTTACACACAAACCGAGAGCTAACAGGTGTATATAGCCTGATCAGTCATGTGACCTGCTAAGCAATAATCTGCTATGCAGCAATAAAGAAAGAGGAGCAAATATAGTGATAGAGTAATAGTGACATATGCAGGTTTACCCTACATCTAAAGCCAAAATATATTTTTAGTTTTGGATTGAATAAAACCCGTTTTTTGTCCATTTGTAGTCCAGGTAAAATTACCTTCACTTCCTGTAATGTAGACACAACAGGTAGTGAGACCAAGAACAACCCCCTCTTAGACAGCTGTCACTGGAACATGTGTACCCATTGGAAGATTCACCATCAATTCCTGTTCTATTGGCAAGTCAAAACGTTAGATTTTTCCTCTATTTTCAGGGAAACAAAGAGGGTAAATCTCACAATGGAGACATAGACAGCAATAAAAAAAAAAAACTGAAACTCTCTCTTTAAAGTCTAGTCTCGAGTAAAACGTTTTATATTTTGGTTAGGTGGGGGAAGGTTAGAACCTATATAAAGTTTTATTGCTGTCCGTGATCCCACTAGGGAGATATCCCTGTGTTTCCTGTGTAAATCACCCGCACAGGAAGTGAGGAAATCTCTTTAGGGGGGTCACAAACAACAATAAAAGCACATTTGTTTCATTGAGTGGGGAAAGGTCAGAAGCTACAATGTAACATTACTGAAAAATCCAATAGGGTGATCTACAAAACTTTGTATTGATAATGTGAAGTGGGTAGAGCTGGGAAACCAAGTAATCTGTCCACCAGAGACCCCATAATACATAGGAGCTGCTGGAGAACAATTTAACTGAATATTTTAAATAGTGAAATATAACTTCTACATGGACTGATATGTAGAAGAAGATTTGATGCACACTCCCTCCGTGGACATGATACATAGACCCAATAACTAGAAATTCCCCCAACAATCTCTTCCTCACCCTGCTCACACTGGTGTTGTGGGTCTGAATTATGTGATGTCCACACAACTTCCTGTGTATCACCATCCAACAAATGGTGAGGCAGCAGGAGGATCTGTGTGTGTGTACAACAAGAAGCAGAGGTCACTATAGGAACTTTATAAAATTAGATTTTCACATTTGGGCAGCAAAGATAAATGTATATTTTGGATGGAGGCGTCATGTGACCACTTCCTCTGCTTCCATATTAATAAAACGTATACTAAGTTATACTAATATTACTTGCAGTAGGTAAAAAATACATTTACATTATGTTCAGCACTATGAAGTCCTGAAAACCTTATGATCCAATGAAGTGCCTGTCATACTGCTAGAATACTGAGTCACAGGAATCAGTGACTCATTTGTACGGTCTCTATAATTTATTATCTTAAAACAGATTTCAGAGGGGCTGGAGATATAAGAATGACACATTTCTGAAAATCAGTATACATGCCACAAATGAGTCATTGTTATCGTACCCGGCAGAACACAGAGAATAATCTGTGCAATGTATGCATATAATATATGCCGTAAGATTCTCACCTTAACATAACCCGGTGTGTCCTGGATCTGTACAGCCATATGCTCCCCTTCTACAGCCACAAGTCTGGAGTACAAGTTTCCTGTTTAATAAAAGAAGACAGAAGCCATGTTCAGTAAGATGTCATGATGGGACATGGCAGCAATTTACAATTAAAAGTGTATCTAAACCCAAGAACAAAAATATAATTCAGGACAACATCAATTTGGTTGCATCATCACTGTCTTTTAAACTGTCTCATCCCTAATTTCTAATGCATACAGGGACTGATTTATTATCCCAGTTTATGCTTCATTCCCAAATGCCTTCATTAGGAGAATAGTCTCTAAATTGTTTCAAACCTCCAGAAGGACAGCTGAATAGCCCTGAAGCTGACTTGAGGCCAAGTGCACACTTGGGCGATCTCGGGACCGTGCGTTCGTGTGCGGTTGCACACAGTGTTTGCCAGGCAGACCAATGGGGTTACATCCGTGCGGCAATCGCTGAAAAAAAGGTACATATACCTTTTTCGCCACACAAGACGCTCGTTTTTCTCCAGCCGTGATCATGTGCAATTGCACGGGTGGAATCGCAGCGGGAAACCGCACGATCTGCCTGGTGCGATTGGGATGCCGTTAGAAAAGTATGGTGGTGTGCGATTTCGTGACTGTGCGGCCATCTGCACGGTTTTGTGCATGATTGCCACGCGGTCACGGATTGCCCAAGTGTGAACCTGGCCTCAGGGTATGAAGTTGAATTATCTTTCTGATACTTTAAGAAGTGCTCAGGAGGACTTCTAGAATATGTGACAGTTTGGAGGTTGTTTAAAGTCATAAACGCTGGAGGAAATAACTGCGCAGTTGAGGAATTATGCAAAATGTTGAAAAGCATGCAGTGAGTCACAAATATTAATATGATATAAAGAGACTTTTAAAGACGTATAACAGAGATTAAACTTCGCGGTTAGTTAGCGTTAGAGATTTTGGTCTTTGTGACTAAAGATTTGATAAACACATTCATAAATTCCCCCCAATATATTGCAGCTTACCAGTCCTTAGATGTGGCAACTGCAGTTATTTTTTTCAGTCTTAAAACATTATCTGCAATTACAAAAAAATACCTATTGATCTCGCCAGGATTCCAATGTCCATGTAACCTATGTGCACTGAACTGAAATATCATACAGCAACGTTCCCAATTCTCTTCTGTGAACTACAAAACCTTTCCTCCCTATCTAATGGAGATGAGGAGAGGGAAAGGTGTTTGTAGCAGCCTAGCGGTGATAACACTGCTTCTCTATAGATATAATACAGTGAGTTACCGAGGTCTGTTATTGGCAAGATCACCAGGTGAAAATAAAGGGGAAAAAACCTCTGAAAAATAGAAACTAATGCAGCCAACATCGAAGGATCGGCAAGATGCAATAAAAATAAATTTTTGGTTTTGGGTTTAGATGCATTTTAATCAGGCAAAAAAAAATCTCACCAGTATTGCTTTCATAGTCTCCAATGAATCTTTTGGTAAGGAATCGAACGATCATTGCTGGAAAAAAAAAGAGTGGAAAATAAATGTTTAGCAATATGGCGCAAAGAAACAACACGACATGAAAATACACGAGGAAATTCATAAAACTGAATAAAAGGAAGGTGTTGAACTGAACTGATACACATTGCCTCTCCTCTGTGCTTGTAGGAAGTATCTGAAGGGAACATTTAAATACAAAATGTGCTGCTGTAACTAATAATGTATCCATTACATTAAAGCCAGCTATGTACAAGGCCAGTCTGCTGTCTGTCCTAGAATTTAAATGTGTGGACCATATATGACACAAGACTATTTGTCATCCACAGCAGATGATGTGCAACCTTTGGGATTTAGAAGATTAGGACGATTGGGAGCTCCCATTGCTGACCACTCTGAAAACATGCTCACTGAATGGCTGTTTTGTTGAGCCTTGTGATTTAATGCTTTGAGCCACTAATCAGGAAAGTCAAAACTTCTATTTTGCATACTCGGTCCAAGTTAGTGGCTCAAAGTATGTTTTAACAAAGGAGAGGATGGAAATGGCAGCCAAGTGATTAGCATTTTGAGGTGAGGACAGTAATGATGACCACCATATATCTGTACTGGCAAATTTCTTTTAAGAGTATTTATGGGGCTTGAAAATCAAATTCTGGAAGTCCGGATTAGATATGACATTTATTAAATTGGACATACATGACTCACATCTTTTTAGAGATTCTAGAACAATGACACATTGGCAATTGAATCCCCAAAGCTGACATACAAGCAGTCAGGACTCAGGACTCAGTATTTGTGTGTTCCTCTGATATTCAGGAAAATACACATACAGGGTTATTCAACAAGTTTGTGTTATAGAAATCCATGGAAAATTTAATAATCCATCTGACTACAATGAGCTGAAATCTGATTTATTTGGGTTACTTTGTACAGGCTTTCAATTCTCTGCACAGTCTTAAGGTGCCCATACACCTTACGATTATCGGACGAAACTTGTCGTCCGATGATCGAATAGTCGTACGATTTTCGTACGGCAGCCCCATCCTGCCCCGATGAGCGCAAGATTAATTTAACCAAAAGCACCTGGACGAAATGCGGTAATTAATTTGCCGTATTTTCGTTAGCGCAAGCGCAGTGTAGATCGTATGACTTTTGACGGACGGAAACGCCAGCAACCTTACGACAATTGTACGATCGAGCAACGTTTTCAAACATGCTTGACCGTCAAAAGTCGTACGATTGTACAGTACTGTCGGTCGGTCACTGCAATGCACACATACGATTATCGGACGAAAAGTCGATCTCATACGAAAATCCTCCGATAATCGTAAGGTGTATGAGCACCTTTATACAGCAATCCAGCAGAGGCATATCTACTAATACAGTATACAAAGCAAATATATAAGTGTTCATCAGTTTAATGTGGTCAGATTGGTGAAAAGTAAGTTCTAATGGGCTGCAGTATATTCATAAAATTAGCATATGGCACTTTGCTTTACTAGAAGTCTAAGACAACTGGAAATGACAAGAAGTGCCCCTGTGTATTCACTGCACATATACAAAATAATAAATGCCAGTTTCCACAGTCCCATAGTGTGCAGCATCCCGGTGTGACATGCATGTTGTATATGGAAAGTCATGGAAACCCCAACAACTAGAAGTCATAATAGGGCACCACATTCCCCCACATGTATTTAACATCTTGATCCACAAGCAATGTTGAAATCCAATGTATCTTGTTATGTGTCCATAATGGTTCAATTTGCCTAATTATTTAACAAAATATGCATTTACATTAAAGCTGTATTGTACAAAGGGTTCTCATTGAAATATATTTATATAAACTTTACAAGTTTACTGTGTCACATAAAAATGTTATTCTGAGATCAATAAATAAATGCCTAACTTGCTGCCATGAATGCCAATGGAATTAATAAGCGGATCCCACCTTACATAATGGGGACCCCTTCACTGGCTTTATGACTACAGTAATAAGTTAGCAGAGATGGGAAAGCCTCGCCTCCAGAGATATAATGGCAGTGGTAATACCCTGAGATCTCTGCATCATCTGATATACCTGGACTGAGTATTCATGGCGGAGAACTCTGCATGATGTCATACACCTGGACTTAGTATTGATTAATGAGAGGTGTGCATTATGTGATGCACCTGGACTGAGTATTGATTGATGAGAAGTGTGCATGATGTGATACACCTGGATAGAGTATTCATACCTGAGAAGTGTGCATGGTATGATACACTTGGACTGAGTATTCACAACTCAGTCCATCATATCCTGCAGAATTCTCAGTTGTGAATACTCAGTCCAGATGTATCATGTATCACATCATGCACACTTCTCATCAATCAATACTCAGTCCAGGTGTATCACATCATGCACAATTCTCATCAATCAATACTCAGTCCAGGTGTATGACATCATGCACAATTCTCAACAATCAATACTCGGTCCAGGTGTATCACATCACATCATGAATACTTCTCATCAATCAATACTCAGTCCAGGTGTATCACATCATGAATACTTCTCAACAATCAATACTCAGTCCAGGTGTATCACATCATGAATACTTCTCATCAATCAATACTCAGTCCAGGTGTATCACATCATGCACAATTCTCAACAATCAATACTCGGTCCAGGTGTATTGTATCACATCATGAATACTTCTCATCAATCAATACTCAGTCCAGGTGTATCACATCATGAATACTTATCATCAATCAATACTCAGTCCAGGTGTATCACATCATGAATACTTCTCAACAATCAATACTCAGTCCAGGTGTATCACATCATGAATACTTCTCATCAATCAATACTCAGTCCAGGTGTGTCACATCCTGCAGAATTTTGAGTATTGATGGCTGAGAACTCTGCAGGATGTGACACACATGGACTGAGTATTGATTGTTGAGAAGTATTCATGATGTGATACACCTGGACTGAGTATTGATGACTGAGAACTTAGTACAACTTTGGCACAGTCATGGAAAAATCAATCATGTACTAAATGTTACCAATGAATATTAGATGTTACTGTCTAGGTGCACATAGTGATGACAATGTTACCATGAAACATTGTATGTTGATAGATATCTATATAAAATTATAGATTCCATGATATAAATGAGCTCTTAAATATATTTCAATGAGATTTAATTGTTATTTATATTAGCTTAATATATACTGTGAGCTATTACAAATAGGAAGTATTCGTAATGTTGTGTTTCTTTATGTTGCTGCATAGTGAAGATATTAAAGTTAGAACATGGTGATGAACCTATATGATACCATACCGCTGTCATCATTGTACATGCTTCCTAATGACACTTACCGGTTTTCCCCACACCGCCTGCCCCCATAACAGCCATTTTTATATCCCGGACTGTGAAGTAGTCCGCAGACTCCGGGATGGGTGCTAGTAGGAAGTTACCGGACATGATCGGTAGACGCATGGGAATAGAAGGATGATGAATCCCAGTGGAGTCACACAGTGCAATGCATCCAAAGTGCAGGTGAGCCAGGAATACAGAGGATGAGGATGAGTCACTGGGATGCTGCAGATGTGCTGCCAGTCTATGGCAATGTGAATTCCAGCACCTGTCAGTCTACGGCAATGTGAATTCCAGCAGCTGTCAGTCCTGTCGGATCATCCAGTATGCTGACTCTTCCCAGCCTGGCTCCTTATAAACCCCTCACACCCTCAGTCGGGGCTGCTGCCTCCTCTCCAGTAAAGGGAATGAGGGCGGCTCTGGAGGCCAGGCACTCATTACGCACAATGACGCGATCCACGCCGCTCGTCATCACAGCCACATACACATAACATAGCGGGGGACCCGGTGATCGATCAAAACTACGAACTTATCGAGTTGTGGGACCGCATTACTTCCGGTTTCCTCAGAACTACGAGGTTTTTACACAAAACATGTTGTGCACGAGCGCCATCCACGGCATTGCCCTATAGACATAGACCACAGCAATAAAGTAATAAAATGATGTAGGATGACAGTAAGCCAGCGCGTTCTTTATCTCAGGTGCCCCACTCAAGCGGCGGCCATATTGAGTGGGGCACCGGAGATAAAGAACGTGCTGGCTTACTGTCATCCTACATCATTTTATTACTTTATTGCTGTGGTCTATGTCTATAGGGCAATGCCGTGGATGGCGCTCGTGCACAACATGTTTTGTGTAAAAACCTCGTAGTTCTGAGGAAACCGGAAGTAATGCGGTCCCACAACTCGATAAGTTCGCACTTTCGACACATCACCGGCGGGGACAATGGAGCTCCCTGACCCTCAGGACAGCCATCCATCCTTTGGAATGAGATCTACATTCTTCTGGATGCTGTGCTCTGTTGATGAGCGCCATGATGTTAATGCAGCAGGTTTGCAATTGCATGTATTTGCATATAAAAGAAACATTTGGTTTCTATCAATACAAGTGCTTACAGAGCACCTCCGGCTGTCATTTATCGCAAGTTCCCCCTGGCACATGTAGATGTATCACCAGGAACCCAGAGTACCGTCACTGATACGTGTTATATTGATCAATAACATCTTTCTTCTCTGATCGGAAGGGTCCCCTAATCTGTATACATTGTTTTTAAACAATCTGTTGTTTATAAAAAGCTTGGGTTCATTTCATTGTGAGCAATCAGAATGTAATGTATTTATTATTGGCATTTATATAGCACCAACAATTTACACAGTGCTTTACATAGTGCACATTCACATCAGTCCCTGCCCTCAAGGAGCTTACAATCTAAGCTCCCTATCAGACATGCATGCAGGGCCAGTTTTAGACAGGAGCCAATATAACCTTCCAGCATGCACCCAGAGGAAACCCACACAAGCACAGGGAGAGCATGCAAACCCCTTGCAGATAGTGTCCTGACCAGGACAACCAGTGCTGCAAGGCAGAAGTGCTAACCACTATGCCACTGTGCTGCCCATTTATAGATCTGTGTATCATACTGTGATCATGTACACTGATTGGCCAGATTATTATGACCACCTGACGTTTGTAGGCAAATTAGCTATAATTTGGCGCTGAAGTGGCTAGAGGGCCAGACCATTATAAAAAAGGAAGACGGTTGTTTCCCACGACAGTCGAAGTGATTTGTTTCTGAAGATATGGGTAAACAACGCGATTTAACAGCCTTTGAACGTGGGATGATTGTTGGCGCTCGGAGCCATGGAGCGAGTATCAGCAAAACAGCAGAATTCGTTAAATGTTCAAGAGCAGCTGTTGTTAAAGTGTTTAAAGACTGGACTGTCAGCCGAAAATCTGGGTCTGAACGTGCGAATTGTGGCCGTCAGCGACTAGTCAATGTTAGGGCAGAACGGAGAGTGGCAAGACTGGTACAAGACAACAGAAGGGCAACAGTGCAGGGTCAGATTCCTCGCATCACCTTTCAACATCTCGTGGAGTCACGAGGCGGCCCAACTAAGTCATCTCGTGGAGTCATCTCGTGGCCCAACGAAGTACTGATGGGGTGGTCATAATAATCTGGCCACTCAGTGTATAAGGCCCGGTTTACATCTGAGCGATGCGACAAAAGTGCACAAACGCAAACCACGCTTGCGGTGCCATTCATTTCTAATGGCACCCCAATCACGGCTAGAAATCCGCTCGTTTTCGGGCCGCATTTCCGCAGGTGCAATCGCGCACAAATGCGGCTGCAAAAAATGCGGGTCCCTCATTGCACAAAGAGGTACATGAGCTTTTTTGTCGCGGTTGCCATGCAGCTATGATCCCATTAACACCAACAGGGCCGCACGGCAACTGCGAGAACGCATGGTTCCAGGATGCACGCTCTCGGGCGCCCAGATGTGAACCAGGCCTAATCTGTATAGATTGTTTTTAAACAATCTGTTATTTGTAAAAAGCTTAGGTTCATTTTATTGTGAGCAATCAGAATGTTACAAAACTCTCTCTCTCAATGTCAGAAAGAAATGATCCCATTCCCTTTTATAAATGGTAATGTTTCCAGTTATTGTTCTTTAAGCCTCATTCACACCTCAGCATTAAGTAGCTTGAATATCTAAGCCCCACAATGCTCAACAGGAGGTATCCTCTGTTCGTATCTGAGCACTCTGTCGTTTGCAGCAAAATGCCTGTTTCACAAAAAGTTCAGGAGCGTCTTCTGCTGCGGGCAGAGACGAATGTTTCGGCCCCGGTCAACTTCAATGGGAGCGCCAACTGGGGCTGTGTCATGACTCTGGACCTGAAAAGCGCTTTGCAGCTAACACAGTATATAAAGGTCTGAGAAGTGCCATAGGCAGAGCCTAGTGCCCAAAGGTCCTATTCTGGGCAGGTCCCACAATCTTTAGTCCAGCAGGGTCCGGGTATGGCTAACAAGGAGTTTATGCCGATCCAGATAGCTACATAAAAAGACCAGCTCAGCAGCATGTAGGTGAACTACAGAAATAATCTCATAATGAGAAAATGGTGAGTAAAATGGTTTCTCTTTTAGAGAAAAGATCTTAATCTTACAAGGAGGCCAGCAAAAAACTAATGCATGATGGGAGCAGGAGGGGCTTTACCCGGCTGGCCAATGGCTTTTTTGTTTTCCAGTGTCCAATTCCTCCTGAAGGCGGCAGTATAACACATCTGTAGTACAATAACTGAATCCTGTGTCCCTTAATGTATATGGAAAAAATATTATAAGGTGTGTGGCCACCAAGCATCTATTACTGATTCATAAGCCTGTATTTTGTCTTTCAGCACCCGGTCATACATAGTCCCTCCCACTGCTTCCTGGATTGACAGCACTACTACTTAAACCCTCCCTCTATGAGCTGCAGTGTCTTGGAAGGGGAGCGTGTGAGACAAGAAGGAGGATTTGGATCAATCAGGAAAGGTAAATGATATTTTTTGTTTACATTATAAGGCTTGTGCATCACGTAGTAAGTGGATTTGGGACTTGCTTAGACATAGAGAAAGCTTTTAGTTATACTTTAAAGTGAAAGTAAACTCAACTTTCCCCCATATGCAAGTATATTACGCACAGTGGAGGTATCTACCTTCAATATCCTGCAAAGCCTTGGTGTTGCTAAAATATCACTGTTTACTTTCATGCTCACATCACTCGCAAATGCCAGTAATCTTCAGAGCACCTTGCAATGCTGATGTATGCACCTGTCTCTGTCACAGGCCCTCGATCCCCTGAGGCTCTGCTGGTGTTCCTGGAAACCCTACGTGACTACTACTCATGTGCGAGATTTAATATTGATGCATATGGAGGGCGGAAGCAGCATATAAGGAAACATTGGCCAGCAAGATACAAAGATGGCGCTAGCTCAGTGGCGTCACAAGGGGGGTGCAGCCCGCAATGGATAACACCATTGGAGGGGGTTACACCAAAATGACTGACAGTCATTTTGGTGTCACCCCTTCTGAAAAGTCGGCCACTTGGTCATGGATCGAGAGCTTGACAGTTGCACGAGAGAGGAGGGGACCCGGCGGCATACCTTATCCAGTGGGGTGTCATGCCCCTACACTAGCTTCAGTGCTAATAGGGGCTAAATAGACTGCAGCGAAAAATATATTTTGGATTAAAATTATTCCAAAGTGTTCAGTAAACAAATATTTATTATTTTTTTAGTGAGGTTCTGTGTTTTTATGGGGTCAGAATGCAGGTTTCACTTTCGCTTTAAGTTTTTGGTTTGTTCTATGATAAAAAATGTTCACAACCAGCCAAAAATATGTCTTATGCTTCAGCTCAGTTGGGGGATATGTATCAATTCTACCAGACAACAAGCTAAGCAGGAGCAATGAGACATATTTATTATAATATTGCAGCTTGATTCATAAATTTCCCCCTCAACTGCTCTAAAGTAGCACTTGAATAGAATAAAGCCCTCGGCTACTTCTTAATTGTGTGTCCGTATGGAGTGAAGATCTGTCACCTCTCTACTGGTAATTTTGTGTCAGTTGGCTGCCCATGAATGCATCCAACTGCTAAATTGTCACATAATCTTTGCAAACTTTGTGTCTAATTTTGTTGAAAAATTGCTCGATGCATGCCGACCCCATAGTGCTCAAAAAACATCAACAAAAATATTATTTAAATATATATATGGCTATAGACCCCTAAAGGTGCTCATACACCTTGCTAAAATCTTTCGATTTCCAAACGAAATTGCGCTTTTGTGCGATAATCGGCCAGTTTATGGGAAGTCAACGATCACAATTACTGTACAACTGGCCGACTTTCGTCTGTCAGGCAAGGTAGAAATGTTTTTTTCAAAACGTACGAAAATCGATGGATTAGTGGCGTTTTCGTACGAAAAAAATCGCAACATGAACACTGCACATGCGCAAACAAAAATCCGTTCTGTCGATCGCCGAAATTCGGTCAGTTAGTATTGATAACGAACGATAATTGAAATCCACATTGGGGCAGTCGTACGGAAATCGAACGATGGTTCGATGAAGGCACGAAAACATTTGTACAATAATTGTAAGGTGTATGGGCACCTGCAGCCTG